CTCCTCCCACCCCCCCCAATCCTCCAATCCCACCCCAAAATCCTCCAATCCCACCCCAAAATCCTCCAATCCCACCCCAAAATCCTCCAATCCCACCCCAAAACCCCGGGAAAGGCTCCGCCCCCTCCCCAAAACCCACCAACCCCCAAATTCCCCGGGATTCGCCCCAAAAGCGGCGGCTCCGCGGATTTTCCCAAAATCGCCGGGTTTGGACCCAAAGCCGGGGCTGACCTTGAGGAAAATTCCGACGTTTTTCACTTTCTTCTTCACCGAGGTGAGAACCACGGCCGGGCCGTCCTGCGGAGACACGGGATTGGCCGAGGGGAGGGACGGGAGACACGGGATTGGCCGAGGGGAGGGACGGGAGACACGGGATTGGCTGAGCGGCCGAAAGGGGAACCGCCCACTGCCTGAGGGGAGGGAGGCTGTGATTGGCCAAGACGAACACGGACGCGATTGGCCGAGGGGATGGGAAGGGAACCGCCCACTGCCTGAGGGGAGGGAGGCCATGATTGGCTGAGAGGATGGGAAGGAAAGACGTGATTGGCTGAGAGAAGCAAGACCGCAATTGGCTGAGGAGACGACCAGGAGGGACACGATTGGCCAAGGAGAACAAGGACACGATTGGCTGAGAGGATTAGAAGGCCGTGATTGGCCCAGGGGAGAGAGAACATGATTGGCTGAGGGGATGGGAAGGAAAGGCCATGATTGGCCGAGAGGAACACAGCCGTGATTGGCCAATGGGAAGGGAAGGAAAGGCCGGGATTGGCCGGGCCGGGCTGGGCTCCCGCTGTGATTGGCCGTCGTCTTTGGCCCCGCCCACCTCGTCCACCATGACGGTGTCGCCGATGAAGAGCGCGTACGTCCGCTCCTCCGGCCGCTTCCCGTCCCGCGCCGGCAGCTCCGACAGCCCCACGTTGACGCTGAAAACCATCCCTGGAACGGGGCGAGAAACAGCGGAATCGGGAAAAAACACCGGAATCGGGAAAAACGCCAAAAAACAGCGGAATCGGGAAAAAACACCGGAATCGGGAAAAACAGTGAAAAACAGCGGAATCGGGAAAAACAGTGAAAAACAGCGGAATCGGGAAAAAACACCGGAATCGGGAAAAACACCAAAAAACACCGGAATCGGGAAA